GTCGGCAGAAAACGATCTCTTTAGAAAACCCTCTCAAGACTCTTCAAAACCAACAAGAAGCTGCAGTGCTAAGGTACTTGCGACCATCCTGATCGCTGTGCCTTCGAGCAACAGAAACAAATGCCGTCCTAAGTAATTCGTTGCTAGTTATCCAATTCATGTTTAATTGTTGAAGCGGGAATTGTTCATCTTCGTAAAGATATCAGTAAAGACCTAATGAAGAATAAAAGAAAGAGTAAGCACGATTGTAGTTATGTTTCACACAACACCCTGCCGTGAAAAAAAATAGGTGATAAATAAAGAACTTAATCAAAAGAAATAGTGCCCAGCGTTTATCAATCTTTGAGCAACGCTTCATGAATTCGATTCTATCTATAGGAGATTGAGTGCACATCTGCATCATAGAATGAATTTCGGAGCCTACCGATGTATAATTCAGTGTTTTGCATCCTCCCAGACAACAATGGCACCGATTCATTGTCCGCAAAGAAGAGAAGGATAAGAGGGGGACTTGGATAGTCAACGGCGCTGGATCGAACGAATGACCATGTGTGCGTTACCGATCACCAATAGCCACTGCGATTCGCACGCTACCTTATCTCATTCACGCGTTATAGAACCATAAGGCTATGATTATGAAATAGAGATGAAATCAATTTAATAATTGTTTTGTTGGGTGCTTATTTAAAAATCCATATTGTTTGCCAAGTGCTCAACAACGCGTCTGGACAATGTTTATTTAGTTTAGACGAGACGAATAGTAGAAGATGGGGCAGATACATTCATACACCCATTTCTAAACTTCAAGGTGTTTTTGATACAAGAAGTTTTCTCTACTGCTCTTGCTTCGGGTTTTCGAGAACTTTTCTACTTATTAGCCAATTGTTCAAGATTTTCTATTGGAACAGGTAAGAGGAACCACGATCTTCACTACTCCTATCCCACATATTGGTACATAGCTTTTAGTTGTACCAGTTTTTCCCTAGTTTCGACTGAGCACACTCAATACACAGTGGCTTTCAGCACTGAATTCATGACGGTCGGATTCTATAGTCTATCCCTACTTCAGTCACTTGTGGAGCGACTTCAGCGTGAAATTCTGAACAGCTCTTTACGTCGACAATTCTGGCTTCCACAATTAACGCTATTATGAGCAAGACTCCAATCTATTTTTTGTACATTTGTATGGAAATCACGAGCGATATTAGACTTAGCACAATCCCACAAAGCATAATCTTTTGCAAGGATCGAATCCTAGATTTTTCAGTAGCTCACTGTTTTCGGTTTCTTTCTTCGAAACAAGAGTAAACGAGAAAATCTATTAAACCAGACCTGTGCCGCTGAATTGGATGAACGTTCTTGACCGGTTGCCGTGCGTTTCTATTCTAAAGCTACCAAGAAAATCTGGTCTTATGGTAGCAATTCTGCATAGGTAGAGTGACGCTTCGCTTTCATGACACCTTGAAAACGTCTGCATTATTCTCTTATTACCCTGACAGATGTTTTGGAAGAAATTACCCTCGTTTCGGCTCGTGTTTCCAGAACTTCTAATGCCACTAGGCAATTCTAATATAGACCGAAACCGTGTAGAATTAGCTGTAGTGGAATGTTGTGGTTGACTACTTCCTGTGTAATAGTTTCAGTTGGGCCCGACTGATAAGTCATCGTGCCATCGTGACTGTATAGTTTGAACGTTATGCAGGGAGCTTCTAAGTTGGAATGATTTCAATACTTCCTTCTTTTTTTCCAGCAACTAATATTGATTATGGAAAGTTGGTCGCTATGGAAATCATTCCCTAAATGATGTCTTCCCTAATCACAGATGATGGCTGTGCTTAGGTGTTCAGCTATGATATACAGAGAGATTCATCTTTCACCAGAGTCGTCCAAACTAAGGAGTAGTCTGATACCAGTTCTCCGACTCGGGAAGGATGAACGTTTTCGTTACTCCGAAAACTACGATCGAACCATTGACGATATGAGCATTGCTTGTCATCTCTAACCACTGCGCTACACGCTTGTTATTTAACTAATTTCTGTATTTTCCATGAAATCCTGCTTTTTGAGTTCAATAGCTTGGCTAGCAATGGAACAATGAATGAATCATCACTGCTTTCCAAGAAAGCTATTCGTAAATTGGCAAACTTCCATTCTAGCTGCTTATTGAAACTGGTGACGGCAAAGAGCATCTAAACACGCGTTGTTTAGGATTCCAAGAAAAAGGAAGCTTTTCAAACCAGTTACCTACCAATTAAATGCGATTGTGCTGTGACCCACGCAATTCTTCATAATGACGTTCCGCTCTCAACTATATGTTCAGAATCTTAACCCTTTTATTTTCTGCCTTTTTTGGTGGTGCAGTGCGCTACTCCCCGGTAAAGACAATAGCGCGCGTTCCTTCCCCACCGCATACACCTGCGGTCCGGAGTTTTGCAAATATCTCAGCATTATATACGAGTTATATTTCGCAACATATCCTGCCATTAAAATGAAAAAAAGGCAGAAAATAAAAGGGTTAAGATTGTGATTATAACTTAACCTCAGCTTAACTTGGTTCAATGCCGATTTGGGCTCTCGAGATCAATCCCGTTGGCGGGTGATTGCTGATGGCAAAAGATCGATAGAACTAGATGAGAGACAGGCAAAGCGAAGGACCCGGATGGTGTGGTGGTGAAGTGCGCTACTCCCCGGTAAGGACAATTGCGCACGTTCGTTCCCCACCGCGTGCACCTGCGGTCCGGAGTTTTGCAAATATTTCAGCATTATATACGAGTTTTATGTTCGGATTCAAATTTCCGATAAGAAACCAGTTTTCAATCGAATTTTAGAAACTTAGGAGGACTTTTTTCCACGATTTAACTTTTTTCTTATTTTTAACTTAACGTGGGTAAACAGTAGTCATACAATTCACACCGCCACCATCGGTCGATCACGTCGCTGTTGTGTGAATTCTCACGATGAGTTCAGGAATTTCAAATAGACTATGAAACGTTTCAAAGAGTCGCGCTAAGTTTTTTCTCTTCGATACCAGGGCTACTCAATTGCTGAATGTGGAAGTAGTTTTATTCTGAAATGTTTTCCCGCAGTGTTTAACTGTAGACTGAATTTTTATGCTCACAGTAGTTCAGAAATAGTGCTCCATTATGCTGTGCACTTCAAAACTAGTAGTGATTTTGCAAAATCTCTCAAAAGCGAGTAAAGGATAATAAAAGGATAAAGTCCTCTGCGTTGATCGATCCCTGAGGGATGCGCCATGCATTCGACTTCATTAAGTATCGTTTGGAGGTGATTGAATGCATATCTGTCCTTTACAATAATGGTGGCCTACCGATGTATCGAGCCAGTGCTTTCAGCTTTCCAGACAAGTCTGGTACCAATTTACCGACTCCAAGGCGATAAAAGACTTGGGGACCAGAGATGCGGGGATCGATCCCTTCTTTGTGTTGCAGGGCGCCTCCGACCATTGCGCCACGCGCACCCTCAGAAGCGAAACATATCGCTGATTATCCTTTCCAGGGAGTAACGCGTTCACCATCACACCATGCGGGTCCTTCGTTTCGCCTGTCTCTCAGCTATTTCTATCGATCTTTTTGCCACAGCAATCACCCGTCAGCGGGGTTGATCTGGGGAGCGCAAATCGGCATACAACCCAGTTTGTAACGAAATGGTTAGCGGCGAAGTGTAGCGGTTCAGATTGATGTAGAATATTAGCCATCGTCGCTATGCTACTGAAGTCAAACCTGAATCGCTATAGTGCCTGAAGCATTGAACATAATTGATCGAGAAGATTAGAAAGGTTACATTGCGGTGTTTGATGTGCGAGTGCGAGAGGGCCATATTTGGACATCAAATACTATTATTCAGATAGATAGAGAACTTTTATAGAGAGAAGTTCTCTATACACCCGCCCGGATTATTTAGGGGCCAAGACGAAATTTTAAGAGGAATCTGAAACACATAACGCTAAAAACGTGAATAAAAGGAGCGTCGCATAATGAATGATCTACTACATTTACCGTAATAATTGGTCGATGTTATCGACACAGTTAAGCTATGGCTGTAGTTGAAATCACAATGTTTAACCTGCGGTCCAGAGTTTTGCAAATATCTCAGCAACGTTGTGGTTGTATTTCGCTTAGTAACCTGCCATGAAAATTATAGAAGGCAGAAAACAAAATGTTAAACATTGTGATATCACTGATTGTTTGAGTCCAGGGGACGTCTGATGGATTTCGTCGAATGGGAAAATACTGTAAGACTTTTGACTTTTTGTAAGAAATAACAGCAAGGATTTTTTTGCTTCACGCAAATCTCTGTCCAGTTCTCTCAATTTCATCCATTTATTCAGTTATTATTTAAAATGAATGGTTTGTTTGCGTATTCCGGATCTAACCATTTTTATCTAAAAGAGGCAACTGCAGTATTGATAACAATTCTCCAGTGTCATTGATCTCTACAGATATCATTTATATCGATCAATCTCTAGCATTTTCGAAAATTCGTCTGGCTTTTGCTCGTCTACCTAACGTCTACTATAAATCGCCCTCATCTTCACGAAAGTCTACTTTTCCATCGCTGGAAGTCATTAGGACTGGATCAAATCCGTTATTATCCAGAATGACCAATCACTCTGCGAATAGAAATTTCAACCACCAGCAACCGTACGCTTTATTACAGTTCGGAAGCATGTCGTTATCATCGTCGTCGTCGCCTCCGCCATTCGAAACTATCACCACAGTTTACAGGCTTCAAAATACCTCCTTATACAGCTGTCTCGGTAAACTCGATAAACGAGCGGATTGTTGCTACAAATCGAAGTGGTCCAAGTTTTGTTAAGTAGAAGGGGGCATGAAAGCCAACTTCAATAATGATCCACAATTGAACGACGAAAGACTGATGACAGATGACTGTTGACTGACCGAACTAAAGACAGTGAAATATTTGTTCTGATGACCTCAGTGACTAAAAATCGGTGTCGTTTCTAGAGGGTGCTCTTCTAAATGCATCCAGAAATGTCCATAGTTAAAGCGATGTTGGCGTATTTGCCAGGTAGAATATGAAAACCGACATTGATTGTAGGTCTTTTTAGAGCAGCTGAACAGATGCGATAGCTTTCTTTTAGGATAACGTCCATAGGCGTGTTGGTAGTGAAGTGTTCAAAGTTATCAGCAATGCAAACAAAACGACACACAAACAAAATTTTGAAGAAGAACAAGGATCTCACCTCAGCGTTCGTCAACCTCTTAGCGATGTGCTTTTTCATGCGACTCTATTCGCAGCATAGTAAAGATGATTTAAAAACTGAATGCATATTTTGCCTATACAATTAATTGCTGAGACCCACCGATGAATCAAGGCAGTGCTTATTTTCCAAAACAAATTTGGTGACAATTTCCCGACTTAGGTGGCACTGAGCACTTCGTTTTTTCAAGAAGTGGGATCAAGCCTAAAACCATATATATGTATATATATATATATATTGTAGGGCATTTTTAACCATTAGGCTTTACTAGCAGGAATATATTCTATCGTTAGAAAATAAATAGTTGCGTTGGGCTATGAAGGTGACGAAAAGAAACGCCAGGCATCGACATCAAAAGTTCTAGTGTGCCTAATTTTCAGCTACATACAGCAGTGAAAGCAATCCACTAGAGTTCTACGTTTATGTAATTTTCAGCCGATGACGTTCCGCTCTGCGGCACGGGAATTTTCGAGCTTCTCGACACTTCGACGGGATTCCCCACGTTGCCGCAAAAACGAGATCATGTGGTTGCACTTCCATACGAGAATATTCACATCAAAGTTAGTATCTTCGAAAATGATACCGGTAAGTATGCCGATCTGTAATGGAATCAAAACAGAGCTGGTAGTCCAGTGTGCGTACAAGGTATCCCTATCGATTAGTCCTGATGTAATGGACGCTCATAGTTCAAATTAGGAAGAGCTGTAAAGTGTTTTTTTTCTAACGATGTCCTCATGGTGTATAATGTTATTTTGGAAAACAAAAATATTTTAGATAAATATTTAGAAGGAGTTCGTCTACAACAGTTGTGTACTTACTTGATACTTGATACTTCTTGAACGGCCCCTCCTCACTGGTTATGCGGGCCCCACCATAACCATCATTTTTCGGAGATTTGCTGGTTAATCCATTGTGGCTCCTTGGAATTCCAAGGCCGGTCTGGCCAAAGTCTGCCCTAGGTCTTCACCACCACAGGCAGCCCTTGTGGATCAGAGGGACATTTGCCACCATGCGGCCTTGATACCAGGACGGTAGTGGATCCTGGTATTGGTTTATCTAAGTCCTACACCCAGGAACACCTTCCAGACAGGATGAGATGGTAAACCGTTAGGAGGAAACGGTTGTGCACTAGAAATATAACTTCAGTAATACTGAGAGACAAACAAAACCAGGCGCTCCAGTTGAGCTTCTAACCCATGATTACCCTTTCTGCGGCTCATGTTCCTCGGAACATGCGACAGTAGAGGAGTCTGCGACGTCGGCGTTTTCGTCAACACGAGTTTGTCCATGAACATCGATTCATTCGAGCAACACGCAACCCGAATCGGACGTTTACGATTAAAAAGACGTGGATCAATTCCGGCTTTGGCAATATCCGTCGTTTACGCGCCGACATCAAACTATGAGGAAGAAGAAGAAGTCGAAGCGTTCTATATGGGCATGGTGAAGTTCTACAGAAAAGACCACACATTCTTCTAGGTCATCATTGGAGATTTCAATGCCAAGATTGGATCAAGGAGAACGTCTGAAGAACGTCACATTGGGACCCACGGATTGGAATGGAACGAACGAGTTGAGCGGCTATCTCAGTTTATCATGGCGACCAAGACCATCCATGGTAACTTGCAATTCCAGAAGCCCCCCCCCCCTCAATGCTGGATGTGGGAGTCTCCCAATGGAGAGTACCATGACGAAATAGACCACATCATAGTAAATAGAAGGTTTTGCCTAATCGATGTCGCTGTTGTCCCAAAATTCTACACGGGATCAGACCATCGCCTCCTTCGAGCAAGATTCTATTTATCTCGGAAAGGGAAAAACCCGCTAAATTCAAAACAGATGTCCCAGAACCACCATAAACTGGGACTTATTCAATTCATTAGTCGGCTGTTGGGAAGATGCCGTTGTCGATAACATCGACGAGGAATACGATCGGCTAATTCAACATCATCACGTTAGTGCTATGAAAGCTCAGAGTTCGAAAGTCGCCAAGAGACGTCTGTCTCCAGACACACTCGAGCTGATAGGCCAGCATGGAATCGCACGAGCTGCAGGCAACCGCGAACTAACGTTCAAACTTACAAAACAATGCAGACTGGCGGTAAAAGAAGGTCTTAGAAAAGAGCAGCAGCAATGGCCGAAGCTGCAGAAGCTGGGAAAAGCATTCGCAAAGCCCATCGAAGCTTCGCCAATAATAAGACCAAAATGATTGCTCTCAGGCGCCCAGACGGAACAGCTACAGCGTCATAGGCAGCTATCGCCCATTCTGCTTGCTGTCTGTCGTCTACAAACTTTATCACTCGAGTCATCCTAAACAGGATTGACAGAACACTTGACGAAGGACAGCCATGTGAGCAAGCAGGGTTTCGAAGAGAAGTTAGTACTATGGACCACATCCGCACGGTAACAATGCTCAATGAAGTATTGCGAGAGTAGAAAAGACCGCCCTGTTTCACTTTCATCGATTTACAGAAGGGCTTTGATCCAATTGAGATAGAAGCAGTCTTGGAAGCCATTGATAGTCAAGGAGTCTCTACTCTGTACATAAGATCTTTCGTGAGCTGTACAAAAATTTCACAACCAAGGTATCACCATATAACAACGATATTAACATTGACGCAAAAGAGGAGTTAGGCAAGGCGATACGATCTCGCCAAAATTATTTACCGCCACACTCCAGAACATCAAGCGAACATTGGAATGGGCTAATATGGGAGTGAAAATCGATGGTCGGCAGTTACACCATCTTGGCTTTGCTGATGACATCGTTCTTATAACACTAAAGGTTAGCCAAGTGGAAGGTATGCTTGACGACTTTGATAAAGGATGTGAAAAATTGGTCTTCGACTAAATCTCACGAAAACGATGTCCACGAAGGACGGATTGATTTCGCGTACCCCATTCACGCTCAACGGAACGAATATCTCCGAATGCTCCAGTTATATCTATCTAGGTCGGGAAATCAATATGATGAACGACATAGATCCAGAGCTGAGCAGAAAGAAGCGAGCGGCTTGGGGAGCTTTCAATAGTATCGAAGATGTAGTGAAGAGTGCAAAGAACACCCGTCTCCGTGCCTACCTTTTTGACTCAACGGTACTTCCCGCCCTAACGTATGTGTCAGAAACCTGGTCGCTGCGTAAGCTGGATGAAAGGTCACTCAGCATTATCGAACGCTCAGTCGAAAGGACGATGCTAGGTGTATTCCGTTCCACACAAGTAAGGGATGGGATCCGAAGCTCCGATATGCGTCAACGTTCAAAAATCAAGGGTGCCGTTCTGCACGCCAAAAAGTCGAGTGGGCCGAACACGTAATGAGTATGAATGACAACCGATGGACAGGAGCCGTTAGTGATTAGATTCTTCGGGATGTCAAGCGTACTGTAGGAAAACCACCGACCCGATGGTCAGAGTTTTTCACAAGGAGCCTTGCAGAAAGATATGATGCTCGACAAGTCCCTAGAGGGAGCAGAACCCACTGGGCAACTCTTGCACGCGACATGGAAAAATTGAAGATTTACCGGCTCCCGCTGGAGTCAGTCGATGATCAACGGGACTACAGGTTATACAGGTGATACAGGGCTCACGTGTTTTTCACTGCATCAACGAATCCCTTAATTTATCTTTTTCTCAACCAGTTTTTCACTCTAACTATGCTATCAGCAATCAACCATTAGCGGGAATGACATAGGGAGCACAAATAGACATGGAACCTATTTAGGCCAAAGCTGCAGTCAACATCACAGTGTTTAACTTTTTATTTACTGCCTATCATTTTTTTTCGATTTCGAAGATGAAGAAAAGGTTTCGATGGTGCAATGGATAACGCATGACCACCTGGAAAGCGTAATCGCGAGTTCGAAGATCACCTGGAATCCTAGTTCTACTCATAACTCATATCTCAGCATTATTGTGGTTGTATTTCACATAGCATCTCATGAAAAAGTAATAGGAAGTTAACACAAAGTGGAACATCGTAATTTTTCATACTAGAGTTAAATATGACAGTATGTTTGTAAGTGTTGCATTCTTAAAGATAAAATATCCACAAAATTATTTGCTAACACAAGGTGTTATTTTACCATTTTTTCTATGAAGCTGACGATTCGGCGGTTTTACATTTCTCAGAACCTGGAAAGATCAAGGTACCGTAATCTGCTCAGCCAAACACCTCCATACCCAAACAGGGAAAATCCTAAAAAAAGGAAAGAAAATGCTAGCAGTTTCTGTTTGGTTATGAAGTTCTTTGGCTCGGTGGATTGCGGTCAACTTGACCATTCCAGGCTCCTAGGAAGGCGAAATGCGCCGAAACGTCAGCTTCATAGCAGTAAGAAGTAAAATAACATCTCATGTTTGCTCAACAGGAATGTGAAGAATTATCTGGTCAATCTCGAGGTTAGCAAAAAGTCACTCGTGAGGTTTGCAGTTCATGTTTAAACAAACAAAAAAAGAACTTTTGACAAAAAAACACTCAACGTGATCAGTGTTTGATTAAACATTTAAAAAAGTAAATATATCTATTAACACAGATCAGTAGGCAACTACCGATTAAAACTCATTCCGGTCAGTTTCCGGATCGGAAGCATAATGTGTGCCTTGCATCTATCATTCCGAAACCGGTAGACGATTTCGAATTCGTATGTTGGCAATTCGAATATATCGCCCAAATGTTTCCTCCTCTTTATTCAGCTCTCTTGCCTCCTGTTCGATGTTCATTACGAATTGAGACATGTCCAAACTGCTTCCTGAACATCAAATATCGACCGCCGTCGGATTTTTTCGCCACTCGTGAAACTGGAGCGGTAATTTTTCTTCACATAAGAGATCGTAGTCCACAAAACACCATTCTCATAGAAGAATCGTAGAGTTGTAGGAAATAAGGGATAAAGTGTTCGGCTTTAATCAATCCATCAGGAATACACAATGCATTCAATTCCATACGTACAATTGTAAAGGTAATTGATTGCGTATTGCGGCCATTAAACGATTCGCGTCGGCCTACCGATTGATCAAGTCAGTGGCTTTACGCTCCCACGTAAGTTCTATCAATTCGTCGACCCATCAGTAGTGGAAGGATTTGTTTGCACGGAACGTGAAATCGAACCAGACGTTGTGCGTGTGCCCCTAGTCACCTCTAACTACTCCGCTACGTGTGCCCCTGTAGAGTTAGTAATACGGTTATTACTGCGTTACTTTAATTTTATATTGCACTAATTATTGTTATTGTTATATTTTGCTTTCTTTACTGAATTTTTTGTTCCACAGTATACACATACACATTTAAGTGCTTCTTTCCTATTTTTATTGTATAAGCTATCAGCTACTATACCCTACAGCATCGCACTTTTCACGTTCTTAAACGAACTTTAGTATAGTGGTTGAAATTCGCTGTATTTTATAGGAAGGTCAAAACAGACTCGGAACAATCTCAAATTTATGTAGTCCATTTTAGTGTGCGCTTTATCGGGTTTATTACCATAGCAGCAAACTAGTAAAATCTCTATGGTTCAGTGGGTTAAAGATCGTGGCAATTGGTGTAATTACGGTGATGACACCATCTTGACTCGGCGAAGTCACGGCTAACCAACGCCCTGAAGGCCGTCGTGCGCAATTCGGCAATTGTGTGACGGCCAGCAATTACTGTTGGTAGTGAGCTGCAATAGCGAGTGGTGGCCGTGTGACGGTATAGGGGAAGAAAAGAAATGTTGTTCCATGTGTAGACTTCTTAACAACGTTACTGGTAATATAGTGAAGTGAAAACCTCTCATTCTTTTTTCAGCTTCCGACTTGCTATGAATCACTTGTCGATCCGTGCTTCGATTTGCAATTTGTTGAGGATAAGGCAGATACGACACTGGAATTGATTTATAGGAAATTATCGATTTGGGAATTTCCACAAAGGTTTATCGGTTTTACTTTAATTGCGATCAGGAATGAAGTGCATAGCTTATATTATCTTAACTTTTATTTACTGTCCATTGGAGTAATTGCTGGTTCGACGCCCAACTTAGATTGCGAGTTTCACTCATATCTCAGTATCCCTGTGGTTACATAGCTCGTAGTTTCATCAGTTCCACAGAGTTAAGACATAAATTATAAGGCGGTTAACGGTTTTCAGCCCTCGGGGGGATACGCCAGCGCATTCATTAAGCATTACAGAGGTGATTGATTACGTAAAAAGCCTATACAGTAACTTGTAGAGAGTTACTAATAGATCAACTCAAAGAGTAATTTTTTACTTGCGCCCTATTCTTTTTTTCATGGCAAGCTATGGTGTGAAGTATGACAACAATGATGTCGAGTTATTACAAAATTTCGGAACGCAGGTGTGCAGATAGGATCGAACTCGCTATTACCCTTTCCGGAGGCTAACGTTTTCACCACGACACTATGCGGATCCTTCGCTTCATTTCACACATTAGTCCATGGAAAGTGTAGTAGCGGGTTCGATCCCCATTGCCGACAGCAGATATCCCAGCATCATTGTGGTTATATTTGGCATCACATCCTGCTATGAAAAAGAATAGGCAATAAATAAAAAGTGGCTGCATTGTGATTTATACTATAGCCTCAGCTTAACTGGACTCACTGCCAATTCGTGCCCCCAGATCAATCCCGTTGACGGGTAACTGCACCTATAGGTTAAAAACACGGCTGAGAGGAAGGGAAACGAGGGACCCACATGGTGTAGGTGGCGAACGCCCGAAAAGGGTAGTAGCGAGATCGATCCCCACTGCAGACACCTGCGGCACGGAGTTTTGCAAATTTCTCAGTATCATTGTAGTCAATTCAATGTTTTTGTCTTCCCAGACAAGTCCCATTTCCGTGTTCGGTGAAATGGTTGCTAGAGCAGAACCAAATCAAACCAACGACTAAATATCTTTTTTAGGGCAGCGTTAACCACCACGCAACAAGCGCTTCTTTTTCGTAGGTTCATTGAGAAGGATGTCGAGACAGTGAATTTGAATTTGGAATGCTTCCTTACTAGAAAACCGAATTTTGCAAAAGAATAAGTGTGACATTCCCTGGAAACCGCTGCAGCACCAATCTAGTGGTTGACGCTAATTAAACAAAGTGCTTGATTTTATTGATGATAATTTCGACGACTATTTAGTTGTGCATTGCGCTACAAAAACTGTTTTCATAACCGTTCCATCTATCCTCAATTTTTTTGAGTTTGGTTGAGTTTTTCGACGATAGGCAGTACTGTCCAAAGCAGAAAGTTCGTCTGCTCTTTGTATTGCTGTGCGACAAACTGACTTCCTTGCTGAAATTCAGTAGCCATTTTAAAGAAGACACCTTCCTTGTATGGCGTCTATAAGCTGGATCCTTGATTTGTGCTTGATTTTTCCACTTATTTCTTAAACTATGTAGGGATATGCCGCGCAGTAGTTAAAAGTATTTTCCAGTATACACACGATCATTGATCCGATCACTTTCCTTTAACCACCCGAGCCCTAAATCACTAAAAGGTGTATAAGTTGGCACTACATTTGTCTGGGAAGATAAAAGATTAACTTAATACACCACAAGGCACTCGCAGATCATTGCATAGGCGAAATATACATCCAATCACCTCTAGGATGCTATGTAGTGTTTGGGTCAAATCCTTTGTGAATCTCTAGGCGATTGAGCAACGTCGGACGCTTTCAAAGCTTTATTGAAAACTTTGAGTGCAACAGGTTAGAGCTCGAGGTCTAAAAGTTTCAAATTTGTCAACGCACGACTTTTTGCTTCACGAATGATTTTAAGGAGAGATCGTAGAGGTTGAGGAATTAAAAATTAAGAAAAGTTTATATTTTTTATTAAGGCCTTTGTACAATCACTTTAATCATTTCTAGTCCTGTTATTCATCGAGTAATTTCAAGCAAGGAAGTCTCCATTCACCCCTTTCGCTCGTCAGCACTGCTCAGTGGTTTAAGCTTGAGTTCAAAAAGCCATGAAAAACATCACATGACCCACTGTTTTTCTGAGCATTTCCTATGCGATCTATGCATAACTACAGGTGGCGCTCTACCCTGCTAAGCATACGACTTATTATTTGTTTACGACGACTGCGAACCAATTCTTGTTGCCCAGCCAATTGACTACAAGGTCCGGCCGATTAGATGAGTCGGGCAGAATTTGTATATACACAAACGTATTCATTCATATTTATGTAAACGACTATGTGTATAAGTCACTCGGAAGTAAAGGAGACCTTTACTACTTGAATTGAATCTATCTCACTCGCAGGGCAAGTAAATACTCAATTCGGTCCTTGTAAATCTTCAATCAGCAATTAGGGATCATTCCAATTGCTTTTAGGACTAACTCGCGCAGGATCTCACACATAGAGAAAATAAATGGACATAACTTTGATATTACTTTTCAATCTGTACGACCGAACTTCACATGTTCTGCAGACTCAAACACTTCTTTTCTTCGTTTCATCGTCTTGCGTCTATCAGCCACGGTGTTCAGATTTACGCGTAGGACCGGCGGCGAGCTGAGAATTTTGTATTCATGGCGAACGCCATTGAATAGTGGACAAACCTGATTCATCCTAGAACTCTGGAATAGCCTAGCTACAGCTTTCCAAGGTCCAAACAAACACAGTCGCCAAACTTTGTAAATTAAGAGGAGCTTCTTCCATATAAGTCTAATGGCAATTTGCAACCCGGCTAAGAGCCCGCTTACGAGTTAAACCAGCGGTCATAAGTGTATTACATGGGTTCCCTAACGACTGAGCTTTTGGTGCCCTACTGCAATATACATCAAATATCACCCCCATCAACTATTGTGGTTGTTAATAAAAATCGTTAGATACAACTAAATTTAAGTGACTGGATAAATTATTGAAGTCTACCACTGAAAAGCCCGGAGTTTCAGGTCCGAAGTGAATAGCACAGGTGATTCTATGGTTCTCATGCTCACAATGTGGAATATAGACGAGAATTCTACACTGAAACATTTTCTTGACGTAAGTTACGGTAAATTCAAGGTCAAAGTTCTAGTACAGAAGCAGGATTTATTCAGAAAAAGCTTGGAAACCGTTCCCTTAACATGTGTTTAAGTTGCCAAGCTTACGCGAGATTGACAAATAAATTTTGTCTGGCTAACGTTTCGACGTCTTCGTCTTCGTCTAAATCAGAGCCGACCAACACGAAGGCTAAGGCTTTGAAACGTAAACCGAAAAAAACTTATCTGGCAACCTCGTGTAAGCTTAACAATTTAAACACATGTTAATTTGTCACACAAAGTTAAAAGAAAAATCAATTTTTGAAATATTATTATGTTTAGTGCCAACAACGTGGCGCGTGTAGCGCAATGGTCGAAGGCTCCCTGCAAAACACACGAGGTCGATTCCCGCGCCCATGGCCCTCCAAGCCTTTCATCCCTCTGGGGTCGCCAAATTGGTACCACATGTGTCTGGGAGGATCCCAGCTCTGCCTCGATCCATCGGTTGGCCAACGCGAGTCATTGTAAAGGCCAGATATGCATTCAATCATCTCCACCGATTGTGCATGCCACATCCTTCAGGGATTGTTCAACACCGACAGCTTATCCTTTATCTGTGCCTTTTTTTTCTATTTTTTTCTCTTTGTCGGGTATAACGATAGTCAGCAAGGGTTGAAAGAATTTCAACATTTCTGCGTCACTCTATTTTTGCATAGCTTTAAATACAAATTAGAGAGAAAAAGCTCGATGTAAGTAGGAATTCGGAAAGAAAAAACATAAGCTTTTACTGCAGCTGGCCAGTATTTATGTGTAGTGATCGATTATTCCATTCAGAGCCTGTTTCCGTTTATGGTGGTGAGCCTGTCAAACGATGTGCTCATCGTCGGTTCGCCGTCGGAGAACATTTTGTCGCCGAATCAGTCATCGATCGGGTTCATCGAATCACCCAGGTCATTACTTTTTTCTGACGACAAAGAGAAAAACAACTCTGGTATAAGGGAAAGAGAAAAATAGAGAAAATGAAGAAAAATTTTGGTTGGAAGTCTCCGTAGGAATCGGCCACCTTCATCCAGACGTCATTTATGTGAGCGAGCAACATCAATCTTGTATTCATTTCTATTTCAATCTTAGGTTGCAATTTTTTTCCAACTTTCAGTATTTTGTTCGATTGTATAGTGTCAGTTCTCTGGACCGAATTTCTATTAGCGTCTGCATTGCTCAACAAATCAGTATTTTATTTCAATTCGTACAGTTCCAGCTTTCTATCTAGTATACTAATTTAGCAAGTCGTTGAATTAATCTAATGTTTAAGAGGTGAAAGTCTGTTTTCTGCGTTCCCTGTGTATTTTCACGAATTTGCTTCACCGCGTTTTTTTACATGTCTCAACATAACGTACTGTGCGGATCCTAACATCCCTTCATCCGTTTCATTTCCTCCCATCCATTATTCTCAGTGATTTTTGGGCTTTGTGTAGGAGTTCGACTATCAGTTTAGCATTTTTGGTCTTCTTTATGAATATCGTTAAGTAGTCGTCCATCCGATTCTTTCTCACACCTTGGGGTGATCGTTCTAATACGTCCCCCGGACTTCAGCACAAGTCAACGAATTTTTTTTCCGATCGCCTTGAGCTTCCCAGACAAGTATAACAGTATCGTTGCGAGGTTTCGAGGCACCATTGGCCTGAGACTGGTTGAAACAATGTATTTTGTGTACTGTTGAACAGTGTCTCTATTACTACGCTACCTGATCCTGGCTTTACCTGTTTTTTTTTTCATTACAGGAACCGTCTTTCACCCCTACTATGCGGACCCCAGCACTTCTTTCATCCATTCGATTCGTTTCCTCGCAGGCGGCAACGACGAAGATCTACCAACTTTTTTACATTTTGTTTCGCCACTGGCTTGAAAATTGTTTCGTTTTCGTCAAGAATGTTGTTGAATGCTGGTCGAGTCAATTCTCCCCGAAATCTTCGATAGCCGTGCTAAGGCGCTCCCGTGGATTAGAGTGAATAAGCTAAGCTTGACCTAGAGAAGCCTGACACCAATTTCCCGAACCCGGTGGGTTCGAAATCTTGGCGGATTCGTTCGCACTAGCTTTACCTGTTATGTTATTAAAATCTCAAGTTGTCATCGATCGGAAAGTGAATGAATGCCTCATTAAGCCACTTTTTTAAAAGTTATGCCCCATTTTTTCTACATTACAAACTGTACTCATTGATTCACTACATAGTTCTCAGAAAAATCGATTTGCTACGGGTTTTTCTTTGAATCTTATAACAACACTCAGAGAAAAGAACTCAAGGAAGCAGTGATTTATTTTCTGCTCATCTTTTGCAGATACCCTGACGCTTATCCACGCTCGTTGGTGAAACGCTACTTGTTAGTGAACTCTAATCCGAACGGCTACGTCCGACTTCTGTTCGATGATTTTCATGTACACTTTCAAAGTGAAATGCAGGTATGGTAATAGGTTTATGTCCGTGCAAGCAGTTTATATCATTTTCTGGATTTTTTTTACAATGTGCAGCAATGTGGGCAGAAGAATAAAAAACAATTATATCCACTCCAAATAAGTTTTCTTACTTACTTTACAATAATACCGTGACTCATCCAAGCTGAAAATGAATCTCTAAAATTTTCTCTTTAAAGAGGAAAAGCATTTCACAATTTTTGTTCTCAATGCCCAACGGTTCACCGCCTCATCGTGGCTGGGAGGTGTTTCTAGGTGTCAGACTGCGATGTACAGCGGGGATTCATCCCCTGGCAGGGTCTCCCAAGCTGAGAAGGAGTCCGGCGTTTCCATTAGGAAGCCTAGCTAAGAGTAAACCAATACCAGGATCCACCACCGTTCTGGTATCAAAGTTGCATGGTGGTAAATCTCCCTTTGATCCACAAGGGCAGCTACTGCTTGTAGTGGTGAAGACCTGGGACAGACTTTGGCAGGATGACTTCGGGACTCCAGGGAATCATAATGGCTTAACCAGCAAATCTCCGAAAAATGGAGATTATGCTGGGGTCCGCACAACCAGTGAGAACGAGCCATTCAAGTATCAAGTATCAAGTAATGTCCTCATCTCGATTTCCAGTCTGTAAGGGTTTTGTGTGAAAAAGTTGAGTCTAAGAAAACAGTCTGCGAGATGTTCTTGTGAATTATTCTTGATAAGTTCACATGACGCAACATTGTATCTGAACTCTGTTGAGGGTATTTGCACTTCGTACATACTGCACGTTATAAAAATTGAGTTTTGCGAAGCTGTTCGCGAGGTTTGGGATGTTGATCAGCTAAAACGGGTTTGATTTTAAAAAAAGCTTTATTCGATTAACATATCGGTGCCTTCGATCTCTTCAGAGCCTGATTGATACGAGTCAGTTGCGCACAGTTGTTCCTTCCTCCTATATGGGTCTTCGTGATCATATCAAGTTCAGTCCAGCGGAGCACCGCTCTAATGAAGTAAACTCACTCGGCAGTGCTCTTTTGTATAAAACGGTTGCTGTTGGTAATGGTCGTCTACTGACAATCGTTTGTTTTCTCCCCGAAAATCCATCCTGCAGCAGTCAGTATCATTAAAAGGTAGCCCAGAGCTTAAGCAGTATTTGAAAAACAGAGACAATCCACATGACTAATGAACATATACTCTTTTACCATTGTTAAGCTAACGCGAGTTTGATAAAAACTTAAATGGGTGGATTGTCCGGAGAACAACGAAAGAGTATCGACGGACAATCACTATCAACACCGTGTTGTGGAAAGGAGCACTGCCAAGTGAGGTTACTTCATTCGGGCAGTATTCTGCTGGAGTGAGCTCGGTGCGGTCACCAAGACCAACACACGAAGAAAGGACACCTGCGGACAATTGTTCCGGATCATTTCAGCTCTGAAGAAGACGAAGGGATCGATACGTTAGTTGAATAGATTTTTCTTTATTAAATCCATGTTAACTTCTCAATGAAAGAATGTATGCTGATTAGTCATGCTTAAGTTAAAACAAAGTTGGCTTTTTGAATTATCTAGTTTTGAGCTCTTCCTTCTCGTTCAAAGAATGTTTCACCTAATAGGCTAAATATTAACATGTTTTCCTGAAGATTCCGAGGACGACGATGCTCTCTGAAATGACAGATATTGTTGAGTAAAAGTTTTGTTAACAATGTCTTCGAGCTCACAGGGAAGCGCCGTAAGGACACACCCCGAATGTCCGCGCACACAATATGTTCTGGCCAATGCCATGGTCATTTGATTGTCGGACTTTGGATTACTACTCTAGAATGGTTGTTGTGTTTGATGATGTTGTGTTGTTGGATGTTGTGATATTGAAAGGATGCTTCCGTCATGGACAGCGAATCATGAACAACGGGAGTTTGATTAAGTAGAGTTCAAAGCTTCTTGTGTTCCAACTCAAAAGGAGGTTAATCATCCACATTTCTCCGATTCTCGAGCGCTGAACGCGGCGATTTCACCGTGCCAGGGTAATGCAAATTTTTATGAGACGAGCACTCAACAAGCAATGTTAAGGAATAAATTTATAAAAAATATGGGACGTTTCTTGTACGTGTTGATTTTTCACTATGGTCTTACTAAGCATCCGGGTTTATCAAAGTAAAGTCTAGATAGTGAAATTTTCAGTAGGTACCTTTGATTCCTATTTGTTTTAGAACGTTATTTTGAACATCCTATGTGGGTATCCTTCTTTGATAACCTTACACAGGTTGATAAATAATGTTTATTTTCGGCTAACGTTTCGACACCTTCGTCTTCACCAAAGCGATGATCCGAGTCGATGGTCCACAGTTGTTCGTCTTCTCGAGGTGACCTCGGGTCGGGTATTCCTCAGTGGAGCATCCGTCGAATGAGGCATATCCATTCGGGGATGCCCTTTTATGCGACCATATGTGGGTATTCCACAATGATATCCTACAGTATTTTGCCGCGCTATCATGATTGCGCAGTATTCCTGGGTGTCGAACCACGATGTTTATCGTTAAACAGGCCAACTGATGTTGAGAAGAGGACCGACATGGCGTAACTTTTACAATAATGACCGCAAACAAATCATTTGTGCTCGATAAGAGCCTTCGGATTTGTGACGGAATCTTCTAATTCCCGGTAACTAGCTGATGACTCCAGAAAGTTGTATTTCGTGACAGTGATAGTTCTATTGTTAGCTATTCCTATAAGAAGCACAGCTAAAGGTAACTTATTAGGAATTAACATTGTAAATGATAAAAAGTAGCAATCCGTCGGAAATCTGTGTCACAATCTGGTGTCGAAGTCCGATAGCGGTTCTTTTGACCGTTGCGTGCTGTTGTTGCTGACGTTCTGCAAGAAACCAAACCCAATGTCGTTTGGAAATAATTTCTTGCTCCATTTGCAGAGTAGCAGGCATACTGTATGATTTGTTGTAGATTCTTTGCTTTTTCTTGTAAAAGAAAGCAAAGAGTCCGACCGTTCGTTTATTTAGCGTTGATAGGACTTTTTTCCTAATCATCATCAAACACCACTAGTCCATCACCAGTGTTTTATGACGCAACGGATCTTGTTTATAGATGATCAAGTGAATTTTTAGCTAGAATTCGATTTTTCAGATTTTCGACAGTGATGGCCACCAACTAATCAATACCAAGGCTGAAAACCGTCGACCACCTGCTATTTTATCGACTGGAAATCGATTGACGATTCAATTCAAAGCTCACGATTTCACGCAAACGGTTCACTACGCTTCTCTATGGTTCAAATCGAACGGTTATTTGCTCTGTAGAAGAGATTTTTTGAAGAAGCTAATCTGAAAGAAGTGAAATTGTAATGATTTTGAATAGGAATCACCTCGAAAAGGAAATCGGTTTGGCATTTTGCGATTTTCAACCACCGATTTTCATTTTTTCCGTTCTTTTTTTTTCAAAAGAAAAAGAATAGACACCAGCAAAAACTGAAGAAATTGCTTCCTTCTCGTATTATCAGTTCATCACCGTTTATTTCACGGTGTGATAGTTGATGGTGTTTTTGCTAGCTTGGTTTTCGCGCTCGATATGAATTCGTCGACGATCGACAATGGCCCGATAAGCCAAATTCACGGGGTGCGTTTGTTTCTTGATCGGTGCATGATTTATGAGACAAGATATTTGGTGTAATCATTAGGATGCGACGAAACGCTCGAGGCATACGGTGGAGAGATCAAACTCGATGGTAGTCATCATTTGATCAATACGTTCGTGGACTGTATATGGATCGTCGGACGAGTTCCGCACATGACACGGACGTTCGATAGGATATATTTGAAGGTCGAGTTATTTCATCCAGGAATACATTATTTCTAGAGCAGGGCTGGCCTAGAAGAAAACCACATTGTAATGCGGAGAAAAGGACACAGACATAACAAATGGGATGAATTACACATATGAGCTTGACATTTGGAGGATTAGAACAAAAGTGGTCGTTCGACTCAGCTGTAATCCTCGAGGTTAACCCAGCCATGTGACCTCAATCATTCACCCATTCAACAACTTGTGAGCCATCCATTTCTAGAGTGTCTGGTGCCCTCACTTCTTTTTCTTATACTTCACTTTTTTTTGGAAATCTTTTAGCTGTTATCCAATTAGTACCTCTAGTTATTGTGTTTTAAAGCAACTAATCTTTGCAGGTCGAAGAATTTCATATGAAAGGGGTCGGATTGCGTTTAGAAATCAGAGAAGGAGCCTCTTCGATGTCGGATCGGTTACTGTTGTTATTCGATTCACATTCTCGAGATCAATTAGATCATAAGCAACCGAGGTGACCACCACAACATAAAAAATAAAATAACTTGAATTAATTTTAAAATTACCGACCATGGTGCATTCAGGCATGGCTTCACAACCTCCTCCAGTTCTCCAATGTTCTATGTTCGACTTCGCGGGTATCTCATGGGAACGTAAGTAGCACTACTTCCGTGATCCATATAAGATGAAGCATTCGGTGTCGATCGATCGCTTAAGGATGTACCATACATTTGGATCCCGTAGTGTAGTAAAAGTAAATGGATGTTGATCTGACCTATACAGTGACTGGCAGCTAGCTACCGATGTATCAAGTCAGTACTTCTGTCCTAACGGATAAGTGTGGTACCAATTTTCCGAGCTTAAGTGGGAGACTTATTTACCCCAAATCACGGATTTGAGCCACAAGGTTTTATATTTTTATCCCGAAAATGCAGGAAAAAAAACGTTTTGTAAGCTAAACGTTGAGCTTACAACGTTGGCCACTAGTAGCTGTCTAAGAATCCGCTGTTCCAGCGGTAACAATGGTTTGGAGAATCACGTCTGGAAGAGCAGTTGATTTCTACCAAGTCTCTTCTTTCCGAACTGTTTCAATACTTTGATTATGAAATCAAAGGTGCAACTAGGTTATTTATTAACAGAACAACTCTCACGTTTTCACTAACCCGTACTATCCAGAAAATAGTGGTAGTGTTGGCGGCTTTGAATAGCAATATGTGTAACGCAGTCGCGCGAGGTACCCAGCAATACACTGGATGGGTTGCTGGTTCGATTTCGCAGTCGCTGCTTCGCATTAACTATCGTGCATCTGTAGTCCACCTCGTATGAGAGGCCATATATGCCTTCAGTCACTTCTACAATGCTTATTGAGCTCAAATGCATGACGAATTTGTCGGCGATTGATCAAAGTTGAACTCTTCATTCTTTGTTTATTCCAGTAGTGTCAAGTATTTTAGAAAAGCTTTCAAAGCGCTTACTATTTCACCAATCATTGCAGTTTTATAGTTATCGGAGTGATACAACCTACACAAAACTCTGATTCGGACTACTTTACACTGTAGTCAACCAGTTACGCGGTTTTTGTTTCCAAAGATAGAAAGTATCAAGTATATTTTTGGACCAAAGTCTACACTCCTTAAAGGGGCGCGTGTGGCACAGTGGCCGAAGGTGCTCTTCAATACACATAGGATCGATCCCCCATCCCCAAGCCATGCTCACCAAGCTCACAAGCTCTCCATTTCTCTTGGGTCTGCAAATTGGTAACTAGACTTTTCTGGGAGGATAGCAGTACAGAATCGAAACATCGCTAGGCCAATCCAATTCAAACCATTGCGACTTTGAAGAGAACAGTGACACCAAGACGTTAGTCGAAATAAAATATTTCTCATGGGAACCTCGGGTAAACTTATCAATGAAGCAATGAATAGATCATTCATGCGAGGATTCGGTGAAGGTCGCGGTTTTTACAAACATAGCAAACTGAGAGTTTAGTGGCGGCTTGGAGATTGTCTATGCGCAATTCTATCGGTGGTCTACGGCACTTTGTCCAGGAGTTGGTGAATACCACTGCGATAACTCTCGTTGCATAAAGGTTTGTCTTCTCAGTCACAACCATTCAGTTTGGTATTCCGTTTCTTCGCTGTAAATATGGATTTTTTCTTACTAAACTATTACGGGTTGGTGGGTTGTCTGAGTTTCGCCAACTTCGAGCAGTCTCTTTGGATTGGCTGCTAGCAAATTTCAAGCAATTTTATTGTACATTAAGAGAAACTCTCTTTATGTTTTAGATTTAACCAACATAAAATTCTTCCTTGTAATTCTGTTAGAATTCAGGCCACACTGCGATGCGATGGCATAGATCATTGTGGGGACGGTAGCGATGAACAATGTCAACGTCCAATTTCCGACTTCAAACAACCGTAAGCATTGTGACAGTTGTCCTTTTCTGCTTTAAAATTTTGCATACCTTTTTTTCCAGTCTATTTTCCTTATGTGTTTCTCCATCACTAATTTTTTCAAGCAGGACCCTATCAAGATTTAATTGACGACGGTTAGAACCTAAGAAATCTCTTTTTTTCCTTCAGTTAAAACTTACGTGTTCTGTGCAGCAAATATGGTTAAAGCCATTAAGCGGGACTCTAAACTTACTTCACTAAGTTCAAGTCACAACGGGTTCTTGTTTTGAAATGTTCACCTTTAATGAAGCTTGTTTTGAATGACAGTTTAGGAAAGTCCAGTTATATTCTTTGAACGACATGAATTTCTTTGGATAGGGCTTTCTGATTTTTCAGCGATAGCGATGTTTCCGGCTTGATCGCACTTATCATCGGGGTGTGCGGCCTTGTTCTTGTGATTATATTAGCAACCGCGGTGCTGGGCCGATTTTATCGTCGTCGATTCGCTTCTCAAAATAATGGCACCACCTTTTCTGGTCAGTTGAGAACTAGATTTGCTTGAATGCCTGAGAAGCAAGTCTCTTTATGAAGCAGCGATTATACATTGGTGCGTTTATCAAATCTTAATCTTTATCCAGTTACTTTAATAGTTCCGTTTTCGCGAAGAAAGTTGAGAGGTGGTACACATTTTCCAACTACCTGGTATGCCTGGTATGTTGTCGATTTCAGTGAAGAATTTTTCTTCCTTGTGTTCTGAGAAATACCTGCTAAGGCTCTCAGGCGCCGCGTGATCATCATAACAGGCCGCCACAGGTCTTTATGAATGTGAGGGGGGTTTGCAATCGATAAAGACCAGTAACATGGATTATGCGCATGTACGACTAGTAATATACTGTGGAAAATGATTGAAATCCTACACTCCCTCTGGTTCTTTACCGCATATACAAGACAAGTCAAACAGTTTTTTTGGAAGACCCAGAAGAACGATATAAATTCATCGGTCAAATAAAATTAAGTATTGCTTCGTTGGTCACTGTATAGTTTGTGAAATAATGGTTGCTAATAATAATTTATTTTTCAGTGACTCCGTTTCACCCTGATTCAACAGCGGTGCCATCAATGCAGACAGTTGGTGAACGGCGCTTCTACGTTGTGCCAGAAAGTCAGATCTCTGTCATAGAAGCTCCACCTTCTTACGATGATGCGTTGAAGCATCCGGCGGTGAGAATACAACATTTCCACATTGATTCACAGTCTATGTGTGTCATTTTATGTCGTAAAAAGTTCATGTACTTCCAGGTACAATCACCACGACCATCAGCATACTTAAATCAAGCCTATGTGTCGAATACATCGGAAGTAGGTATACTATGATCCGTTCGTTATTCCTTTAGACGATCGTTCCTTATCTCTTACACAATAAATGCAGCACCGCGTCCTTCGTTCCATTTAACAAAACGCAGATGTACAATGTGGTGCAGTATAAAATCACAATAAATGTAGCCAATAATATGGAAAGAAGACCTAAAGGAAACAGAAAAACGTGTGTAGTTACTAAACTTGTAGGGAAATGCTTCTGATTTGTTGCTTACAAATTTTTCTAGAAGCAGTAGAAATAAAGTCGTGGATAGTTGCGAAATTGCATGATATTGAATCAGGTTATGGCTGCCGAGACCTCATACTTGGTTAACCAAACATTAGTGTATATGCAGATGGAAACAATTGCTTTATGTGACTAGATATCACATGTTGAGATCCCGGCTTCTCCTTTTCTCTTTCTTTCCTGCCATCTATTATCCATGGGCACGAGTGGCCCAGCGGTCGGATACGCCCTGCAACGCACACATGGAATCGATCGGCACACCCATCGTCCGCCAAGCCTTCCATCACTCCGGGGTCGGCAATTTGGTAGCAGACTTGTCTGGCTCCATACATCGGTAGGCTACCGTAAGTCATTGTAAAAGCCAGGTATGCATTCAGTCACCTTCAAACGATATTTAATGAAGTCGAATGCATGGTGCATCCCTCAGGAATTGATGAACTCCGAGAGCTTTATCTTATTATCCATCGAGGTCTTCGGAGCGGCATGTGGGTTTCGCTGCTGCCCGGAGACTTTCATTTTTCTCTTCAAATGTTGTTGAATGCATGTCGAGTAAATTCGTTCCTAAGTTATCCATATTAGAGCGTTCGCAAGCTTAACCAAAAGCAATCCCTAATCTTCGTGGAATGGAGGTAGCTTTGAAGACATGTGTAATACTAATTTTCCGATTTCGGAGAAATGGTCGGTTTCGTTGGTCCAGTGCAAAGGGAATCATGCCCTTGCACAATTACTAAACACCATTTCTACTACTGCGTTACCGGCTAGCTCAGTTGAAACTAATCGAATTTATGCAATCAAGAGAGAAAGTAAGCAAGATGGACTGAGCAATAGAGCCCGAATGTCGTCAAAAACAGATGGTGATTTTTATAGATTTTGGAATAGGCAGAATGTTAGTACAGAATGAGACTACAGAGCGCTTAGTCAACCACTGGTTTTTACACAAGTGCATCTGCAAGCATGCAAAGAGATTGCAAAACACCTCCCAACCAGCCGTAAGAGAAGCATGTGAGCCGGCTATTAGGCAACAAGTAACAGATAGTGCAAATAAAGTCCAGTAATGATGAATATCTTCTATATGTCCCATCACATTAAAAGTCATGTTGGAAATAAAGTCATCATGGAGAACATGTATGGAATTTAAAAGTTTGAGACGCAATGCGGAAAGTGAAGACAATTATAACAACTTTAGAAACAGCATAATTCGCTGCTTTTGAACGTTCGCAGTAAGAAATGTGTTTCAGGAGCAAATGGGACAATCCTCCATTTCGCAACTACCATCAATTCGTGATCTCGGTTCCGAAGCGACCGTGAATAACACTACAACCCAAGCCGATATTGAGAATGAGGTGGCATCCGTGAAGGATACAACGTCACCTGTAGAAACGCAACATACAGAAGAAAACACCTCTGGTGTTTCATCTAATACACGTCGACAAGATGACGAATCATGGGTTTAGTCACATGTCAGACGTCTGGACGGATGCAATGGCTTCATTCGTTCGTCATATTTTCGCCAACGCTACTTTTCTAAGAATTCGTAGCGTTGTCACCGTCATACAGTAGAGTCTGTAGAATAGGTGAAGTCGAAAAGAAAAAAAAACAGTAACAACACTAGCCAGCTTTTGCTAAGATTCATAACGCGCTCCACCTTTTCTTTTCTTTGTTTTGGTAAACTCCACATTCACGGTATCCTCAATTCGGCCATGAATTATACTTTACCAGTTCCGCATTACTCACAACAGTGCATAGAGTATTTTCGCTACATTCATTTGTTATTGATTTTTAGGGCGCATTGCACTGGACAGATATAAGTCATGTTTAAATCATATAACTCAATCTCGTTTTCTTAATAGCTTTTTAAATGGTGTTCTCAGGAAAAATCCACTAATCAAGCGACCGGTCCGTGCTGTCCTTAAAACCAATTGAATATCAGTTGTATATTTATATCAATCGATAGTTTCTTGTTATCATTTTTGTTTTGTCACTTCCTTTTAAGCAGATTTCCACAAAAATGTGATATTTTGCTGTGCTTCTGTCTTCACGGGTTTCTGATCTTTCCGTTCTTTTGTTAATTAAACAAAAGTGATCCGTTTCGTTGTAAATAGGAATAAATGATCTTTCTTTCCTTTTGATTTGTTCGAGATGATTACAAAAGTCGATGAGACGATAGTAATTGATTCTGACAACGATTAATAGACGAAGTAGTTCATATAGTTGATCGGAAGCACTTTAGTGCTGATATTTCGGATGTAGAGACTTATCAGAAGAGATGGTGCGTACCATCGCGGTAGGCCCACATCGTCCTGAGTATTAAAAGTTCATCACAAAATCGAAGGGAATAGAGCGGAAATAAAGCGAAGTAGAAATGAATGCCGATGTTTTGTCCACACCAGATATGCTAGGCCACTTAAGTACTTTGCTTCTTCTGGAGTCCGCAGTTGCCAGCAGATTTACCTGTCATAAATAAAAAATAACGTATCTATAAGTGTGACTTCTGGAGGTCATTGTGGAAGCAAAAGCGTTATTCCCACAGATTCAATTTGTCATAAATATTACACCTGATAGATTTCAATGTGAACAAAAGGTGAAAAATATCCATAAAAAGATTCAAAAAGAACCAAAATCTTTAGCTCAGACAAAATTCCGCCACGACAACATAGGAAGAGCAATTTTGCACTTTTTCTTTCCAAAATCGTGACCGCATTAGTGCCTTCTACATGGCTTATCGGCCATTTTGCATCCCACTGAGGCGATTTAAAACTGTCAAAGCGCAGAAAAGATTCATTCAGCTCAGTTCTACGTTAGATGACATTTGTCCTCCTCCGTTCGGCTTCCACGCCGACGTATGTTATCTATCCATAATAAGCTTGTATGCATGAAACAAGACAAATTTGGTACGGCGTAAAAATTTTTATATTAGAGCATCCACAGATCTCCATCATATGAGGGATTCCGATAGCCGGTTAGTCTCGAGGCTACGTGGCGCGTCCCCAGTTGGCGGACAGAGTGTTATTCGCATACACAAGGCGACCTTTGCTTCCTTGAGAAGCAGGTGGCTCCAGGGAATGGACTAACTGTTTCTGCTGCGCTGATTTGGCATATACTTTCTGTATTTGCTAGGCATATTCATGCATGCGTGTGTGGGTGCGTTCTTGCCTATGCGGATTGTATTCTACGAGTCAATTCGGTCAAAAACCTGCACTCAAGTGACTAGGAAGTATATGGAAGGCGGTTAGGAGTTTCGTCCAACGAATAGGCTCCATATCCACTTTAGGAGAGCCTGGCAAGCTAACTGTGAGTAAACCCAACCCGACGTTCAAAGCCCAGCAAGCTATACGTGGATATCAAAAATGCTAAGCACAGTAAAGAACAACGGGCCTTATTCCCCAGAGCCCCCAATTTCGCAGCGTTGGGTAGGACGAGTACGGAGAGGCTGCTGAAATCTCAGGACGAATAGAAGCTGCCTGGATTTCAAAGAACTATGGAGACGATCTGTATCTACAATGCACGTACACTTGCATCCGAGTCCTCGATAGAAGATTTGGTCATGGAAGCAAGAAGGACAAACTACGACGTCATCGGCCTGGCCGAAACGAGGAGACGCCAGCCTTTCAACGCCGTCTATGACACCGGAGAAAAACTGTTCCTCGGAGCATGCGACAGCAGAGGAGTCGGCAGCGTCGGCGTTCTCGTCAACACGAGTCTGTCCATGAACATCGATTTATTCGAACAACCTACAACCCGAATCGGACGTTTACAATTAAAAAGACGTGGATCAATTCCGGCTTTGACAATCTTCGTCGTTTACGCGCCGACATCAAACTATGACGAAGAGGAAGTCGAAGGGTTCTAAATGGCCTTGGAGAAGTTTTGCAGAGAAGACCACACATTCTTCAGGGTCATCACTGGAAATTTCAACGCCAAGATTGGACCAAGAAGAACGTCTGAAGAACGTCACATTGGGACGCACGGATTAGAATGGAACGAAAAGGGTGAGCGGCTGTCTGAGTTTGTCATAACTACCAAGACCATCCATGGTAACTCGTAAATCCGGAAGCCCCACCCTCAACGCTGGATGTGGAAGTCTCCCAGTGGAGAGTACCATAACTAAATACACCACATCATAGTACTGTTGTCCCAAAATTCTACACCGGATCAGACCATCGCCTCCTTCGAGCAAGATTCTACTTCACGCGGAAAGGAGAAAAAGCCGCTAAATTCAAAAACAGAAGTCCCAGAATCACTATAAACTGGGACTTATTCAATTCATTACTCGGCTGTTGGGAAGATGCCGTTGTCGATAACATCGGCAAGGAATACGATCGGCTAATCCAACATCATCATGTTAGCGCTATGAAAGCTCAGAGTTCGAAAGTCGCCAAGAGACGTCTGTCTCCAGAAAGCTCGAGTGGATACGCCAGCATGTAATCGCATGAGCTGCAGGCAAACGCAAACTAACGTCCGAACTTACAAAACGATGCAAACAGGAAATAAAAAAAGATCTTACAAAAGGGCAACAGCAATGGCCGAAGCTGCAGAGGCTGGGAAAAGCATTCGCAAAGCCCACCGAAGCTTCGCCAATTATAAGGCCAAAATGATTGCTCCCGGCGGCCAGACCGAACAGTTACAGCGTCCAGAAACGCAGTGGAGAAAATCATTCACGAATACTACTCGAATCTCTTCGATAGCCATGTCCACCTCATATGAAATAAAGGAGGATGGATATGTGATACCACCGGTTCTCCCTTCCGAAATCCTACATTCTATCTCGTCGGTGAAAAATCGAACAGCACCAGGTACAGACAAGATAAGACCACAACACCTCAAGAACTCTCCGCCAGTTCTCGTAAACACACTGGCTCGGCTCTTCACACGTTACCTGTCTGAATGCAAGATCTCTACTCAGTGGAAGACTAGCAAGACCGCGTTATTGTTCAAGAAGGATGACCTGCACGATATCGGCAACTATCGCCCGATATGCTTACTCTCTGTCGTCTACAAACTTTTCACTCGAGTCATCCTAAACAGGATTGACAGAACATTGGACAAAGGATGTGAGCAAGCAGGGTTTCGAAAGCGATTTAGTACGATGGACCACATATACACGATAGCAAGGCTCATTGAAGTATCGCAAAAGTACAAAAGACCGCTCTGCCTTACTCTCAACGATTTACAGATGGCCTTTGATCCAATTGAGATAGAAGCAGCCATGGAAGCCCTTAGTAGTCAAGAATCCCTACTCAGTACATAATGATTCTTCGTGAGCTGTACAAGTCTTTCACGACTAAGATATCACCATTCTACCACGATATTAACGTTGACGTCAAAACGGGAGTTAGGCAAGGCGACACCATCTCGCAAAAATTATTTACCGCCACCCTCCAGAGCGTCATGCGAACATTGGAATGGGATAATATGAGAGTGGAAATCGGTGGTCGGCAGTTAAACCATCTTCACTTTGCTGACGACATCGTCGTTATAACAACAAACATTTGCCAAGCGGAACGTATAGTTGACGACTTTGATAAAGCCTGTGGAAAGATTGGTCTTCGACTAAATCTCACAAAAACGATGTTTGTGAAGAACGGATTGGTTTCGCATGCCCCATTCACGCTCAACGGAACGAATATCTCCGAATGCTCCAATTATATCTATCTAGGTCGGGAGATCATTGTGATGAACGACCGAGCTCCAGAGCTGAGCAGAAGGAAACGAGCGGCTTGGGGAGCTTTCAACAGCATAGAGGATGTAGTGATGTAACAAAGAATACCCGACTCAATGCCCACCTTTTCGACTCAACGGTACTTCCTGCCCTAACGTATGCGTCAGAAACCTGGTCGCTGCGTAAGCGGGATGAAAGGTCACTCAGCGTTATCGAACGCGCAGTCGAAAGGACAATGCTAGGAGCATCCCGTTCCACACAAAGGTTGGGATCCGAAGCTCCGATCTGTGTCAACGATCAAAAATCAAAGATACCTTCCCGTACGTCAAACAGCCGAAGATAAGGTGGGCCGGAAACGTAATGCGTATGAATGGCAACCGATGGACAAGAGCCGTTAGTGACTGGATTCCTCGAGATATCAAACGTAGTACAGGAAGACCACTGACCCGACGGTCAGAGTTCTTCACAAAGAGCCTTGAAGAAAGTTATGATACTCGACGAGTCCCTAGGGCGAGCAGAACCCACTGGGCTAGTCTTGCACGCGACAGGGAAAAATGGAAGATTCACTGGCGCCCGCTCGAGTTACTCAACGTTGAATGAGACTACAGGTGATACAGGTGATATTAGAACATCATCCTATGACATCCAAAACTTGCCCAAATATAGGAAGAAGTCACATGACTGTGCCCATTTTGGTCTTTTCAAATCTACATCCTCAATGTTCCTAAAAGCGCGCCATGCCGCTCCCTTTGTTCTGCTCAACCCAGGAGCTAAATCGTCCATGTTGATTGTCCGATACAGACAGAAATGAAAAGGAGCATTCGGAGATAGATATTCGTGCTGTTGAACGTGAGTTTAGCATACGAAACCAATCCGTTGTTCATGAACTAGTTTTTTTAAAGTTATTCAAAAATCAGTCTTTCCACAGGGGTATCAAAGTCGACGTTCCGTCTGGAGGATGTTTGATGTTTCAGGAGAGATGTCACCAGCAAGTCGTAGGCGGTATTATTGTCGACCATCGATCTTCACTCCCATGCTGGCGCATTACGGTTTTCACATTACGTTGTTAAGAATAGTAGCGTTGTATAGTGATTGCAATGTTATAATGTGGCTTACGACGGATTTTTATTCATGGCGAGAGCCTAGCTCTCCAAAGCTGCCATGACTACTTCTGCCTCAATTTAGTTGAAGCCCCTTATTAAGTTGAAACTGAGACAGAGCGGCTCTTTGTACTCTACCGATACTTCAGTGAATCCCATTACCACGTGAATGTGGTCCATCTTAATGGAAACTCTGCTTGTTCATGTGGCTATTTTAACTTATTACATTCTGCCCACTTTTTTTAATGGCAGGGTATATTGCAAAATATAGCTTCAATGATGCTGAAATACAACCACAACGTTGCTGAGATATTTGCAAAACTCTGGACCGCAGGTGTCTATGGTGGGAAACGAACGCGCTATTGTCCTTTCCGGGGAGTAACGCGTTCACCACCACATAATGCAGGCTTAGTAACCTGCCATGAAAATTATAGAAGGCAGAAAACAAGACGTTAAACATTGTGATTTCAACTACAGCCACAGCTTAACTGGGTACTATGCCGATTTGCGCTCCCCAGATCAACCCCGCTGACGGGTGGTTGTTGTGGCAAAAGGATCGATAGAAATAGCTGAGAGACAGGTGAAACGAAGGACCCGCATGGTGTGGTGGTGAACGCGTTAGTTCCCTGAAGGATAATAGCGCGTTCGTTCCCCACCGCATTCATCTGCGGTTCGGAGTTTTGCAATTATCTCAGCATCATTGAAGTCATGTGGCTATTCTTCGCCCACTGTTCTGCTAACTCTTTTGAGGATAACTCGAGTGAAGAGTTTGCAGGTCACAAACAGCAAGCAAATTGGATGATAGTTTCCAATATCGCAGAGGTCACCCTTCTTGCACAATAATACAGTCTCGCTGGTCTTCCACACAGCGGGAACTTTGTCTTCTGACAGATACTTGTGAAGAAATCCATTGTGTTTATAATGATGAGCGGCGGAAGGTTCTTCAGGTGCTCAGATCTTATCTTGTCCAGATCCGGTGCTGTTCAATTTTTCACCGACGAAACGGCATGTCGGATTTCGGAAGGGAGAACCGGTGGTGCAACATATCCATCCTCCTTTATTTCATATGACGGAAGGTGAACTTGGCTATCGAAGAGATCTGAGTAGTAATCGTGAATGATTTTCTCCATTGCCTTTCTGGACGCTGTAGCTGTTCCGTCTGGGTGCCGGAGAGCAATTATTTTGGATTTGTAATTGGCGAAGGTCCGGTGGGTTTTGCGAATGATTTTCCCGATCTCTCTAGCATCGGCTATTACTGCTGCGCTTCTCTCTTTAAGATTTTCTTTTATGGCTAGTTCGCATTGTTTTGCTAGTTCGGACTTGAACTGGCAGTTACCTGTGGCTGTGATTCCACGTTGGCGTATCAGCTAGAGTATTTCTAAAGACATTCGTCTCTTGGTGACTAAATAACTCCCAGCTTCAATAGCACTGAAGTGAAGATGTTGAATTAGTCAATCGTATTCTTCGTCGGTTTTATCAATAGCTGCATCTTCCCAACAGCTAACTAATAAACTGAAGAAACCTCCGTTTATGGTTTTGCGACTACGTTTGCTGAAATGAATCGCTTTATTTCCTGAGAAATCATGAACGAAAGAGGCGATGGTCTGAACTCACTCATAATTTCAGGAAAACAGCAACATAAAAATTTAGCGACAGTTAGGCAAAATTACGCTATGGTACCCTTCATTACGGACCTCTATGCCTAGCGCTGGAAGCTTCGACTCTGGAAATTCGAATTACCATGAATGGTCCGAGCAGTCATGATAAACACAAACAGCCGCTCGCTCATCCTAATCCTTGGGTCCTAATAAAACGTTCTTCAGACGTTCTTCTGAGTCAAATCTCAGCAATAAAACCTTCAATGGTGACCTTAAAAAATGTATAGTCTTTTATGCAGAATTTCTCGAAGTCCATATAGAACGCTTCCTCTTCGTCATAGCTCGACGAAGGTGCGTAGACGACGAAGATTCTCAAGGCCGCTGTGTATCCAGATATCTTCAACCGTAAACGTTCGATTCGCGTTGTTAGTTGTTTTAATGAATCTGTATCTATGGCCACACCTGTATTGATAAGAACGCTGACGTCGCCAACTCCTCTATTGTCGCGTGTTCCGAGAAACAGTTTTACGTCGGTGTTATAGACGTCGTGAATTGGTGGTGTCGTCTCGTCTCCACCACTCGGAAAACACCGTACCTTATCCTTCTCACTTGCATGACGAACTCCTGGATGGAAGACTCCGATGCAAATGAGCATGCATTTTAAGTACAGATCGTTCCTTTAGTTCTTCGAGATTACGCAGCCTAGAGCGGCACTGAGATCTTAGGCGTTCGACAGGGATATGCAGACATAGTCAAAACATCAACACTAGACAAAACGGCTGTCGAAATCTATCGAAATCATCTTGTTTCTGCTATGGCTCTAAAACAGCGGCGTCGGTTTCGACTAAGCTATAGGTACGAACTGAATCGCGCAATCTCTGCTCAATCCGTAAGCTTACTCCTTGTCAATCTGTTACGACTATCTCAATTTAAATACATAATCTGGCTCGAAATACCACTAGATGGTAGTTATGAACGAGCAGTCGCACTTAGGCTCCACATAGCACTAATTTTCTGTAGTGGGAGTGAAGCACTGCTTAAGAACTACAATCAACTTCCTCTCGTCAACATAGTCGAGCGATCAAGTAAAACGTCGCTCATCTGTGAGTGTGATGTGCTCTTGCAGTATAACAACGGGGATTTTCGTTGCATGTTTCGTTCAATAGCTCGGTTATTTTCTGCTATTGTGGTAGCAAAGCCTGCATTTTTCATATTATACGTGTACTTTATATCTTGTGTGGAGAATTGGAGAAAAACTGGCATAGCCCACTAATAAAGCAGATGAAGCCTAATTTTCGTTACAGTCGTTAATTGATTGCTATTTCATTTCCGAGTGCCACGATTTATCATAACAATGGTGTGAATGCCATCGTTTGGAGATGATTAAATGCACATCTGGCCTTTACAATGACTCGCGGTGGCCTACCGACGTATCGAGTCAGTGCTGCTATCTTCCCGGACAAGCCTGCTACCAATTCGCCGACATCGGAGTGATGGAAGGCTTAGTGAAGAATGGGCGCGGAGATCGATTCCACGTGTGTTGCAAGGCGCCTCCGACCACTGCGACACGCGCGCCCATTAAGATTACACATCATATATAAGAAATGTCGAAATAGTGTCAAGAAAACTTGCCAGACAAACTTTCAAGTGCTGAAAAGAATGCAGCTGTACGTTGAGCCATAATAACATATGGTGAATGTGGCAGTGCACTACACACACCCAAGGGGAATAGCAAGCTTCCAGAAAGCATGTTAAACTTCCTATTCCAGCGTGTAATAGAAAATCAGAAGATTTTAAAACAATAAATGAAGTGAAAACTACACATAAAACATCTGATAATTTAGCATATAAAACTCTGATTACATGTGTAACGATCGGTAAGTGATCACAAAACGGAAAACAAAAACCTTTGTTTCTCAAAAAAAAAAACCCCGAACTCTTCGCTTTCATGCGCTCACACACAATGCTTTTGGAAATTCCACTAAGAAGCTACGACACATTGAGCGGTATATCCTTGGGGACACTACGGGCTCTCAACCCCGTTTTCCTCAGATATAGGTTGACATAAAAGTGCAAGAATATCAGCATATTTCTTTAAAACCAGTACCAGGACCTCATAACGGAATGATTGCGTACTCAACTAGCTTTTTCCCATAAGAGCAAAAAATACGTCGAAAACATGGCACGATGAATAGAACCAATAGGGCAAGTGGAATGTGATAACTCGCAAATTTTTTTTTAACATGCCCCGTCATCACATCCACTCTGAGTACCCCAGCACTTCTCACATACCGTTCGTTGCTTCGCATTTATCGTCCACAGTGGTCTTCGAACATTTCGTTTGTTTCTACTGCTGATTGAGGATTCCGCCTCTTTATGGCTGTCGTAAAACGCTGATCGGGTTTATTCTCCTTGCAATCTTGGAGATATCGAGACTAAGACGTTCCTACTTGGATTGGAAGAGAGCGCTGGGTAAGAAGTCAAACCAACACCTTGCTGTCTGATAGACCGCATCACTAACCACTACGCAACAATACCAGTGTACGCATGCCGTCTAAAAGAAAAAAAAGTAGTCGGTTGTCTAGCGATAGCTTTTAGGTAGATCCTAGACTGATACTTAGGTCGACGCCATAGATAAGTAATGCGATGCACTTCTCGAATGTGACTAGTTAGTGCTCTCAAGTTAATACAGAGAAAACTAATGCAGTATGAGTTGACCCGAATTCCAATCCGTACAGCTCATTTTTTAATCCAAACAGGTCAATAGAGCGCTGACTTGTGTCGCAGAGCATTCCAAATGGTAACGTATAAGGGTTTTGTGAAATTGTATGTAATTACCACGACCAACAAAAAGCAAATGCTTCCAGTGATGGATCACGCACTTCTTGATATTCTGAGAACTACTCGCTTTGCTCGTAAAAATGCCATATATTTAATTATTTTTTTATTATTTATTATTTATCATTATTTATTTAATTATTTATTTATTTATTTAAATCGTCACTAACATCTAAATTGTGACTCAATGTTTCTGTAGAGAAATGTTCCGTTATTCAACGATTTAATGGAAATGTTGTATGTTACAAGTCTTACGTTGTGCAGAAACTTGCTGAGGGAAACACTGAATGTGGACATATGGACAAATTTATTGTTTATACAAAGTGTACAGAATATAAGTTTATAAAAGTTATTTACAAAAAATTTAACAAAGAAGTTGGAAGCTCTGTAGAATGAAAATCACTCGAAAAGTGTGACCGCCGCTATATGCCCATTGTCCATGACCTGAAACATCAACAGAACGCTCTTGTGTTAGAACTTTTTTTAACACTCCCACGATGATGATGACTCCCGCCTCGTGATTGTTGCGGACCGAACGACACCTAATTTTCAGCTTTTATGGGATTGTTCGTATTTCGAAAATAAACAGCAATTTTTCAATAAATGGAGAACTTCGTAGGTTGTGAAGATGAACTGATTGTGGAAAACGCTTTGCTCTGTCGTTGTATATGTATATCCATGACATTTATGGTGCTTTCTAGTACGTGTTACTATGGTCCATTATAAAAACACATTACTGTCCGTATTTAGCTGTATTTTACAAATTGTGGGTCTTGCTCTTAAGAATTTTTACACCCGTACATTTTATACGATAACTATCATTCATTATGGCAATTATTAGAGAACTGGTATAGTACCCATTAGCAACCAAATCTCTGCTTAATGAACTCGTTCACAAAACGGTTTCTTGTACATTTCTAAGTGCTCGATAGAGTTATTTCTAACCAACGCCCAACATATATCAGTGTTCTACAAGATATTAATCGACAAGGAAAAATGTAGAAAAGTAGTTTTATGTGTTGAAATAAACTACCTGAAAGAAAATAAAACCTGTGGACGCCATAGTATCCATTCGCGCAAAACCATTATGACCCCTATAGGTGCCAGTCATAGCGAGAGTGCTAAGGAAGCATGCTAGTAGCAAAATCAACTGACAGCTGCTAGTACCTTACAAGTGTAATTTAGGTAACAAAAACCACAACTTAGGCGACTTCCAACTACGTGAAACGCAAGATATAAGATACTGATGTATATAGACAACCACAAAACGTACGCATAAATAGGTTGCGGCAAAAGTCAACAGAACATTTGTGTGGGAAGGCTAATACCATGTGTAGGAGTGTAAAAATGAACGGCTATCGAGGTCTTTTCTCAGACTTCTTTCATGTTTCTATAGACCTCAGACCTTTAATCGATTCGTTGTCTTCGTTGTCAAATAATAATACGATTTTGATTAGTTTCTGCAAAAACTAACGGCAACAAATTGACACAAAGAATTTGCTGCACCTTAGCAAAAAATTGAGGCTTAGAATTTCCCGAAACAATGTTGCTACACATTGTTCACATATTCCTCCAATAAAACACCATGATTGCACCTTGGTTTTGGTTAGGAAACGCACTAATCCTTTTAAACACTTCCACGTCCTTCACAAAAGAATCCTGATTTCGCTAGAAGAGTCGAAAAGGTTGGTCTTCATTTAAAGAAGAGAATATGTTGTGTAGCTGTAGAATCCTCTCTGCATTTCGAATTATTTTCCACCGAGTCTATTCCGGTATTTTTAATATCCACACATTCATAAAATAGCTATGATTCATTAGGGATTAAAATGAACTAACAGTTAATTAGATAGTCAAAGAAGTCAGTTAGTCAAAATTACAGCTCAATGAACTTTTCGAAAAAAGGTTTTCAGTAAACATCGAGGGCATAGAATAGCTTGAGCCGTACAAAAATTTCACAACCACGATATCACCATTCTACAACGATATTAATATTGACGTAAAAAAAGGAGTTAGGCAAGGCGATACCATCTCGCCAAAAATATTTACCACCAGCCTCCAGAACGTCATGCGAACATTGGAATGGGATAATATGGGAGTGAAAATCGATGGCCGGCAGTCACACCATCTTGGTCTTGCTGATGACATCATCCTTATAACATTAGCCAAGCGGAACGTATGCTTGACGACTTTGATAAAGGGTGTGAAAAATTGGTCTTCGACTAAATCTCACAAAAACGATGTTCATGAAGAATGGATTGGTTTCGCATGCCCCATTCACGCTCAACGGAACGAATATCTCCGAATGCTCCAGTTATATCTATCTAGGTCAATATGATGAATGACCTAGCTCCAGAGCTGAGCAGAAGGAAACGAGCGGCTTAGGGAGCTTTCAAGAGCATCGAGGATGTAGTGAAGAGAACAAGGAACATCCGACTCCGTGCCCACCTTTTCGACTCAACGGTACTTTCTGCCCTAACGTATGCGTCAGAAATCTGGTCGCTGCGCAAGCAGGATGAAAGGTCACTCAGCGCTATTGAACGCACAGTCGAAATGACGATAGGGGTATCCTCCGACCTGCGTCAACAATCAAAAATCAAAGATGCCGTTCTGTACGTCAAACAGCCGATGATAAGGTGGACCGGACACGTAATGCGTATGAATGACAACCGATGGATAAGAGCCGTTAGCGACTGGATTCCTCGGGATGTCAAACGTACTGCAGAAAGACCACTGACCCGATGCTCAGAGTTCTTCATAAAGAGCCTTGATGAAAGATATGATGCTCGACGAGTCCCTAAAGCGAGCAGAACCCACTGG